TGTCTTGGTCGAAATACTTGTGTAACCGCTGCGTCAGATTCAACAGTTCTGGGCCTCTCCTCTCTGCTCGCCGCCCGTTTGATGATTTGCGCCCTGTGATCGGCGATACAAAAGAAAGTCGTTTACTTCCTATTTCGGCAGTCTGTGGCATTTGGTCGAGTTCTTCGATTATTTTCTAGAGCGGCACCTGATTACGCCATTACTGATCGTCCCGAGCATGTCGGTGCGAAAGCTGCAGAGAACGATCGGCGAAAGTGAGACGAGGAACGTCGCGCGACGACGATACGAAAGAGAAAGGGGAAGAAGAAGCCGCGTTGCTGCGCGAATTCCAACGCTTCCCTTTCACATCTTGGCTCCAGACGCGCTCCGGTGGATGAGTGATGAGAGATGCGGCGAGAAGAGACGCCCAAGTCGGACGAAGAATCCATAATTTTCTCCTCGCGATTGTTTCCTCCCCTTCGTGTCACGAAGCCGATTATGTCCCGACTGTTTAAACTCAATCTCACGAATGGAAGTTCTCTATTTGAATTAAAGCAAATCCAGTTTCTCCTTTCCCACGTTGCCCTCTAGCCTCATTATTTCCTCCGGGAAAGAGTTAATCGCTTGAAATTGTTGTGACTGTTCCAAGTAACCTTTGTACCGAACTTGGCGGAATATTATGTTTCGTCTTCTCTCTTGTGGCGAAATAGGTAATTTACTTACTTGCAAAGCGAAGTACAGTTCAATTCGAAGTTCCGAGGAAGCGTAAGTAAATCAACAGTTAAGTAAATATGTCTTCCAAGTTGGATCAGCATTAAAACTACTTTCACATCCAATAGGGCGTCCTCCTGTCATCCGATTGAGATCATACGATGGAGCTCATCTTAAACACAGATCTCCGTACGAATGACAAGAAATGAACAAACTAAATCAAGCAAGTGTTTCTTTCTTTTTCTTGCCACTTTTGCAGTAATTCATCTTCCAGAATCATGATTATTTCCACGACGATTCGCTTCGATGACTTTCAGGAAAATAAATAATTCACTTTTTTTCATCGACTTGCAATGTTTCGTTGACGTCTAAATCGGAGTCTCGCACGACACGCGTCCATCAATCAATTACTCTTCTCATCGAAGTGTGCACTTCACTTGGCGTCGCAATCGCGAATACCGCGTAATCGCGTTTGCAAAAGAGCGAAGGCGTACAGACGAGAACAAGCTTCTCTCGCGACGATGGGAAAAAAGGAATCGCTTTGTCGACGGTTCGATATCGTTGACGCGATCCGCCATCGCTAAAGACACGATCCTTCGAAAGTTCTCCGACATAATTGGCGCGACCGTACACAAAAGAGTCTCATAAAGTCGAAGGGTACTCACAGGAAGACATGCGATAATAATTCTCTGCTAAATCACTCCGCCTTAATCGAACGCCTCGCCTCGTTGAAGGATCGACCCGCGTCCTCGAACGCTCGAGAGTTCGCGGTCTCAGAGATGAGAATCGTCGCGGAAAGCTCGACGCTTAAAGACGCTCTTAATTCGAAGACGCCCTCGGAACAAGCGAGGAATGACACGCCGCAACCTTTTATCGTTGCTTTATAATTTTTTATCGCGGACAAATTCTATCATTCTTCATAATACAATGATAAATGAATAGAAATTTTTATAATATTTTTAAGAATGAAGCACAATAGTCGTTATACTTTAGATAAGAATAAAAAATAAATTTTTATTCGGTTGAAATTATTAACGAGAACAGAGAAAAAAAGATTTTTAATATATTGATATAAATATGTATTAATATTTAAAATAGAGAGAAAAGTGTGTTTTATAAATACAATATTATTTATATAAAAATTCATTCATATGTAAATATTAATTTTCATTAATTATAAAAAAATAAATACTCAACTCTTTCACTCGCTGTGTAACGCTGATTTTTCTCACGCAACAAAATGAAATTCCAATTGTTTCCTTTCTTTTATATATATTTAGTAAATTTTCTCTCTTTTTTCAGCGTCGCATTCCTCCCTCGTGCGAAAATGTCGTGGATACTCATCGCACAAAGCTTTTTAAGACACCAATGTAACAAAAATTTACACTATAATAATTACTGCGTTGGCACGCACTGTCGACGAAACGTTTTGCCCATGGCATTTATTCGGCACGAGATATGATCTCGTGCATGCGTGCCGGAAGGGGAGTTAAACTTTCACGAACAATGCAAATTTATTCGCACGCCACGAAATAAATTCGTGAATCCAGGGAAAAAGTTCAGATTCAATGATTTTTGCGAACGCTATAAAACTTGAATGTAACGACATATTTTTATTTTTTTTTTCTTTTATTTGCGATTAATCGTTTCATATCAAGAGTTTTTCTCAATTATTTGTTTACACGGTGATTAATATTTTATCAAATCGCAACTTGCCACAATATGATTGATGATTGATTCCATTAAAAAATCGCGTCAGTATAAAAATGACGAAAAAGACAAGAAACGTTTTTACACGTTTATGCCGAATTTTCATATACTTTCACACGACAAAAGTTTGCACGTTTACGAATAACTTCATTAGTCTTTTATTGTGATATATTGTACAGATTTGATGGTGCAATGGCGTAAAACTAAAAGAGTAGTATATTATCGAAATAATATATTATTTTTCTGTTTAGTTAAAACAGGGCAAAAAATATCGAAGGGAAAAAATTTAGTATTTTATAAGAAGAATATTCAAATCGAAACTATTTCAAATTATGTTTGCTTCTCAATGTGATAGAATTACATAAATTGCTCTATCGATTTATACCTGAATGACGAAGCTATTAATAAAAACACCAATCGATAATGCGAAATAAGGTAATAATATTATCGCGATGAAAAGTTCCTATTATGATACATACAAATAATGAGATTGCACGATTTCTTTTATCCATAAATTTCTCCGCGAGTAGATTTTTCGTGATTTCTTTCTTTTCTGCAGCTTTCTTCCCGCGCGTTTTTTCTTGACGGAAAATACCCCGCAGAAGACATCGATTCCCGTCGAATAATAATATTCATAAATAGTGCTCGCCGAACGCGAAGGCAAAATGTCAATTTATCATTAAGACAACCGTTCTCTTCGTCCCATGTTTCCTTCGGAAAAGTTACTTCACCCCGAAATCGCTCAGTGCATAAGAGTGCTTCGTGGAACTCTTTGAGCTTCTGATAATAAGTGCTTGTTTCATTGAGCGTTTTGCGATTGTGACCCACAATTTCGTACGCGACGATTTTTCACGACAGTACATCTTTCTCTTTTTAAAATTCGATCATATATAATTAATATATAATTAATCAGATTTACTGTTAATGCAATAATTGTGTGAAAATTCATTATAATGCAACAATAAATCAGAATCACGTATTAATCGAATAATCTGTAATCGTTCAGAATGCGAAACATGAATACAACATGTTATGCCCTAATTTTAAAGCAAATTTAATTTGCCGAGTGTTAAAGAGAAAGATATTAGTAAACAATTTTCCAAAGTGACATCTCGTTCAAATCGATTAGCTTTCGAAAACAGATTCGACATGTCCCATACAGCGCATTATGCCTGTAATGTCACGAAATATCTAGAATTAATCGCAATACATTTCGCGCGCAGCGCGCACAAATTGTTATTGCAGCAAATATTGGTACACCAAATTTCCGGCTATATATTGCTGACTGAAAGATTATTGTTCTGATTTTGCTGATTGGCACCAAAATGTTATCGGGTTTACTGTCTATCACTTTTTCATGCATTACCAATAATTAACAGAATTATGATAGACCATTCGAACTCGTATGTTTGTCGAATCTTGTCGAATAAGACGCGAAAAAGAGCACTTTGTTGCCGAAACAATTATAGAAATAAAGAAAAGCGGGGCTTTACTTTACCAATTACTGCTCCAAAAACTTGCATATAAAACCGAGCCGTCAAATCGATAATAACGCAAAAATCACACAACCGTGTCTCCGATCGCCAATGTTTACGTATGTGGGTCGCACACAATCCAAGAGATCTACCTAAAATTACTTATGCGAAGTATTCTTACGATTTATTAAATTACTTAACGACCTATTTCGCGTTTCCCTCGCGCATATATATACACGAATTTGTACAGTTTCTATATATTCGCGCGTGTAATACACAATACGCTATAATAATAATATATAATTCGTTTTCGCGGATACATTGATGGTTGCGAAAAAGTAGGAGTCTTAAGGCAGGAAGACGGGTTTCTGTCGAGATTCGCGATGGCTTGTCATCTCCTATTCTCTCATCGTCTCTATCCTTCCCGGGTGTTTACGCGCGTCTGCCTCGATTATCCTCGTATTCTTGCGGATCGACTGCAAACCGATGAATAAGATACATCGCGTTCGTAAGTTCGTTAAGTTCCAAAGTTCAACGATTGAGCGCATTCAGCGGGAAGAACGATCGTACAGCAATTGAATGTTATTGACATGTATTTCTAGATTCAACGAATCGAGATTCGATAGCAATTCAATCGCTATTCAACTGTTGTCTCTTCTGAATGCACACATTGATGATCACAGTGTAATTTAACGCTGCACGCATGATCCGTTTTCTCTCATTCATCGACCTGTCGTTCGTTAAATAATAATTAAACTGCCGGATCGACGGTACGTAGGATGCTACAAAATTATTATTCATTACGCGTAACTTTAAATGAATTTGTTTTCATTGCTGTTTGATATAACTCACTGAAGGAAAATTTCACTCGTATACTTTTCAATTGGCATGTTAATCCAATTGTTCATTCGTATGTTTTAAAGTTAAAAAAAGAACAATTGCAACTCTGAAATATCAGTGACATCTCTTAAGTGCGTCTCGTTTTGACTAAGGATTTCCAGATAATTCTGGGCATTCACGTAAATTTAATTGGTTGCAATTTTTTTTAATTTTTGATAATTAAATACCTCGATAAAATTAACTTAAAATAAAGTTCGATTTCGAGATAAATAAAAAGTAGCATTTCATTTCCTATTATTTGTTCTATTTCTTGTTTATCCCGAAATTTGATTCTCTAACACAATCCTTCTACAGTTCAATGACTATTAAACTCTTTGATAATACACATACATATATACACATAAATAAACAGCATCCTTTGTAAATTGTATTCTAATCACGTTTCATTGAGAGAAAGTCTCTTTTGACGTTTGTTAAAATTTCGCAAGACTACGACGTATCTGCTTCATCTGTTTGCTTTTTCGAGTGACGCGTACATACACGAGTAGCGTACGCGGGAAACTCTGTACATACCTAACACCTTGCGAAAATGAAATTTGCGATGCAATTTCCTAAAACGATTAGAGATAACTGTAGGCGCCTCCACGCCACGCGTACTCGTGTTCTCGTGTTGATTCTCCAGACACGATGCGACGACCTCTGAATGTGTAAATTTAGAGACGTAAGAACGAGAAGCAGAGACTTTGGAGCATGTCCAAGTGTATCGCGTTTCTAAAGATACGGATCGATGCACTTGCGGCGATTTCGCAAATGTATAAGAATGAAGGAAAATCGCGATACAAAAATAATAATAAAAATTAAAAAATCTTGCTCGAGCTAGAGCTTCAAGCCGGCTCACCAATCGATAACTAATGAAGATATTGTAAGAAGAACATATTCATTAAATTGATTGCCGAATTATTATATAAATTTGCGTGTTCCATGTTACTTAATCAACTTCCCTTACTCTTAATTACTTTAAATCAGCGGCGCGATACAATCAGCTGATAGATACACGAAGAGCGAGATCTCGTTAAATTATGGCATCCTAAACGTAATTTCTCGCGATATAAAATCCGATAGCTAAATAATCATTAAATACGCCGCCTACGCTCGCGCGTGCACTCGAGAGTAAAGTGCGCCAGGCGAGTTGCGAAAAAAGGATGATGGAAATAACGCGGCGGAAAATCCGCGCGAAATATGATCTCTCGAGCAGTCGCGGGACACGAAATCAGAACTTACTTACCTAATCCACGTACTCACGTCCTTGGTTCGTTCGATTGTTCGTTTGTTCGTTCGTTCGTTCGTTTACCTTGCACGCCCGTCCTAATTTTCCACCGCCGTTTGCACTACTAATGAATCACGTTTCTGCCAAAGGCTGAAGTGACTGAAAAATTCAATTACACCGGCGAGCTTCGTTCCCAGCCTGGCGCGGGTGTAATGAAATACTCCGGACGCGGAATTTCGCAAAATGAAAGGAGAAAGAAGCGAGGGTGGCGGAGAAGGGAGAAGAAAACGGCGAATGCCGAATGAAAACAGAAATCGCAATTATCTCGCGACCCGATTTGTCTCTCGATCTGACAGGTAACGGCTCCTTTTCTCTCTCTTCCTCCCTCCCTCTCTCTTGCTCCAGAGATGTATTATTTATAATACAGGTATGCATATGTTACGAGTGATCATACTTATTACTTGTAAGAAACGCATACGTTCGACGCAGAATGTTCGAGGTACATTTAATTTTCTTCAAAGATTTAGATGGATACCATAGCTTTGCTTTTATTGAAGTTTCATGCTCCAAGTTGGGATTCTGTTAAAACTCGTGCGAAATTTTGAAGAACTAGAATATAGAAACGTGACGGGAGATGAAATGAAATAAAGGAGCGATAATCGCCAAAAATGCCGGAATCGTCCGCAGGATGCGATGTTTCAGCTACAAACGATAGCTTCTCAATCATTAGTAACTCGCCATGTCTCCGCTGATTATCGAGGCTATCGGAAAACTACGCGTACCTCATTTCTACAAACTTTTTTCTAGCTATTTTTCCTTAACACGGGAATGGGAGGAGGCAAAGGTGATTCGATTACAGGAAGACGCGTGATTGGAGCCTCCTGGCGATGTTTACGGGGTGAAGAGACTCTAACAGAAGGGACGAGAAAAGAGTTGTTCTGCCCTTCCGGCACGTCACCCGCGCATTTCGTTGATAATGACGATTACAATCGATAGCGTCTAATATTTATACAGTTTCACCGATATATATGTATATACCAAGTTATGTAGCTTTTATGTAACTGCGTACAATTTTCCTGTAGCGACTGTTCAACGGAATAACAAAACGAAGAGAGAATATTTCTTTTCCTTCTCTCTCTGTTCTTTCTATACAAGATTGCATTTCAACAGCGCATTATGCGTAATTTTGCGATATACATTTATCCTTCGATGTAGTTGGAACGCCGTAATTATTCGAGGATGCAGCTATGTAATTCAATTCAACATTAACGATTCGATTGAATAATTACGTCAATCGAATTTCCAAAAGTTTATTCGATTCCAATCTAGAAAATTGTAGAGGCCAGTTACATAATTTTTACATAACTTTCTACAATTCTGAGATCTTTCTGAGCCATTAGGGAAGATCCAAAGTGGACCGAAATATTCGACGCTTTCCTGTACGTGTCTTTCTCGAGACAATACTTACAATTATATCGTAAATACTTACGTACACTTACACAGTTGCGCTTGGGCTCTAAGCGGGCCCTTCTTTTCTCATAACAATTCTACGATAATGATGATCGAGAAAATTGCGCCGATTATACAATTTTCGTGATCGATCGTAGCTAAAAAGTCGAGGCGACGCGACCGATCCGCGGACTCGCGACCCCTAATTCAAAGTCCGATACTTTAAACGCTCCTTCTATGTACATTTCTCGTCATTTTATCGTGCATTGTAATCGATTATCACCGATTATACGAACAGTCTATATGTAACTAACATTATATTCTTATCGTCGTTGCTATCACCGTTGCTATCATCCTCCACTTTTTCCTCCAATCTTCTTCTCCTTCGTCGTAATAATCGTTACACGATCGCGTTAATTACATTGTTGTTCACGATTATCACACTCTCTCGAAAGAATGGTAACGGGCGGGCGGAAGGGGGAGGGGGAGGAGGGGGGGAGGGGGAGATGCGAGCCGTAAAGAGGATGAGAGGCGAACCCCTCTTCCTCTCGCGCGATAATCGATATTTATTTATTATCGTAGTAACGGTCGTTGGCGCGCGCTTTATCGGCTCGTGTGTTCCAGCCACGCAGTATCGATTAACCACCGTGCACGGACGAGAAATCGGGTCGTTCTCCGTGTGTATGTGTGTGTGTGCGTATGTATGTGTCTATCTGTCTCTCTCTCTCTCTCTCTCCTCCCTCTCTTCTCGCCCTTTCTGGCGAACCGACCAATTTTCGATGACAACATACGCCGCGGCACGCGAAAATGAGCCTTGCATTTGCGATCGCTCGTATGACAAACGCCGTTTGACGCAGCGCGTCTCCGCGATTTATTCCGATTATAGATTCATAACAAATCACGAATGCGCGGATGATGACGCGTCCGAAATATATTCCGGCTGCCAGGATAAATCCGGTGATGCTTATCGCGCGAACTGTCGATCGAATTCGGAATCGCGCAAAAAAAAAGAAAGAGAGAGAGAGAGAAAGAGAGAGAGAGAGAGAGAGAGAGAGAGAGAGAAAGAGAGAGAGAAAGAGAGAGAGAGAGAGAGAAAGAGACAGAAACTGCGTGTGCAGGAGCAGATTTAGAAAACGAGATAGTGCCCAACGATTTGTATCGCAAGTAAATTTTTCTCGCGGAAACATTTGAGAATTATCTTATCGTGTTGATGACGTAAAGTTAGTCAAAGGGATAGAGCGGTAAACCCATAAAGTTATTTTAACCCCCGCGTTACACGCAAGGGATTACCCCCTTTAATATCCCTCTCGATGTAAAAAACCGTATGTTACAAAAGCGGAACAGGTCTTTTTTTATAACCGTTACGAGCCAAGAGAATTTCTCGACATTCACGTGCGTGTAACGCGTTATTAATTAATCTCAAGCAATTAGTCTGACGTTTGTATACGGAAATATTTCGCCCCATGTACGAGAGAACAAATCAATTGTGTGTTTACTCGTCGAAATCTAGTTTCAAGATCCATTTAATAATTAGATGAATAAATGAGATCCCATTGTCATTGAAAATTGGTCGTGATTTATCTCGATTTCCCCGCCGATTATTTAGACACGCGTCTCGCGACTACGATAGACGCAGCTGCCGAACATCGGTGATTTTACAGTCACTGTCGACTCACCCGCCATTGTGCTCGCTCGCTTTTACCTTCTTCTCGCCTTCCGCACTCGTGTGCATGCATGTGCTTCCACAGACCCCTCCGCCCTGCCTCGTCCTCCGTGGTTGCCTCGTTAATTAATCGCCGAGAAGCGAGGTCTTCCGTCATTCTTTCCACCTCGAGGGAGGGTTGATCCCTTTAGCGATCGGTAAGAATAAAAGCGATGATTATCGGAGCTCCCACGCCTTCTAGTTCCTCATCTCCCTTATCCACCCCTCGATATTTAGTCTCCTCGCAAACTGTTTCCTCGTTATTTCGAGAGAGTGTCAGCTCTCCTCCAATCTGGCTCCTTCTTCGATCGACTCGTTTAATCCCCTTCCCCCTTTCTCCGCGTTTCCGCACAAAGACACGTGTATCTTGATCGTAGCCGACGATCCATATGACGCGACAGCGAGACACACCAAAGCCTCCTGTCACATCTGTCACAATGTCAACAAGCACCGCCGCCCCGTGCGGCTTGGTAAATGGAATGTTCTCCTTCATCCTTCTCTTTCTCTCTCTCTCTCTCTTTCTCTCTCTCTCTCTCTTTCTCTCTTTCTTTCTCTCTCTCACGCTTGCTCGCACGCGGATTGTACAATTAATCAATTAATGTAATTAATCTTTTTACACCTATTATACACATATATGAAATATATTATACCATATTACCTTTTACGTGAGCAAATAAATTGATTATTATATCGCCGGGCAGGGGCCATGCGAGCGTTCTAACGCTCTTCTCGACCCTCGCCCCCTCTCGTTCCTCGTCGGCGTATAAACAATGTATACGTGTGTGTGTATGTGTATGTGATGTGTATAGATGTCAGACATAGAGTACGTACTCTCGTATGCCTATGAGTATGTGTACGCGTGCGTGCGCTCGTGTGTGTTTAATCTCCAGCGGCTCTAATTACGTCTTGTCTTCTCTCCCATCTCCCCGCTCTCCCCCCCATCCCTCTTTGGCTTCTTTCTCTCTCTAACGAAGTAAAACTATCCGAAACCGTGTCATCTTTAACTTCTGCCGCGTTCTTACCGTGGACCCTTATCCTTGGTATCCTTCTCATGTTCCGCGGTTCCTGTTTCGTCATCCCGGCTCCTGTTAACACTCCCTCCCCCTCGATGACGGAATGCTCTCGACGTGACTATGCCAGCCAATCGCGACGATACGAGCAAACACGTCGAGAGCTTTCTTGCGTCCCCGAGTGCTCCTCTTTCTCATTCCCCTCTCTCTCTCTTTCTTTCTCTTATTTTTTTCTTATTTATTTTTACAAGTATCGATTCGCGATGTGTATATGATAGAAAGAAGAAATAGTACGCAGCGCGTTGTAATTGATGAAGGAAAGCCGAAAAAAGAAAATGAACGAGATGAACCACGATTGATACTCGCGCTCCGGACGAGCCACCTTGAACCCTCGTGCTTTATGACTGAATTTTATAGGAGATTGAATTTGATCTTTTTATGACGGTAATATATTTACGTCGATAATCAACGTACAGTGTCATATAGACGAACGTTAATTCATATCTTTCGGAGAGCTTGCTTTTTCAACGTCGTAATTAATAATTAATCGCATTAATTAAATTGTTTTAATACAATGAAAAATAATTATCGTGCAAATTACTCAATCACAAAATAAAATAGCTTTTGTCAAAATATCCCACCTTCGAAATAAATATCGATATCCGTTATTAATATCGACAGACGAAAATTATTGCGATTATTTATTCACGACGTGATTATTTGTTCCGGCAATCGTGTGAATTGTTGACAAAATTGATTCTTGATTTAATTCTTTTAATCGTGAAACGCTCACGTAACTTTAGTTAAAATTATCGAAAAAGAGGAAATCGGGAAAAAGGATGATAATCGTCCCTCGATCGAATTCCGGCACGAGCTGGACGAACTGGCTCGTGGCCGAAACCGCCTTTTAGCATGGCGAACCCTATCGCTTTTATCCGAGCTATTCGATCGTCTTATTACCCTACCGACGCCACATTTATATCGTTTCTTGTTTCACAAGCCGACCAAGTGATTCAGACGGAGACCGACCGCGTCTAAAAATTGGCAGTTGTTTGCATAATTGTCGTTCAATTTATGCTTGCTTCTCTCTCGTGACTTTCGGTCCCTCTCGTCCCCTGATCTTCGAACGTGCGCGCGTTTTACGGCGAAGGGGGACGAGCGCCCAAACGCGAGCGACGACCCGTTCCAGAGATCGCCATTAATCAATGACATTAATTATGGGACAAATCGACGAGCGGATATGTTTCGCGCAAATTATTTTGCCAATCAATTATTCCCGGTAGTCATGCCTCTCGTCAGCTGCTTGAATGCTGTCCAGGCCACTCGATACGTCGGAATAATCGATCAATTGAATAATTTGCTTCGATAATTGGCCGCCCGTGTAAATGACTCGGATCGCGTCGATAACGGCACATCGATATCCGTATCAAGTGGCGATCGTTATTCGAGAGAAGAACGCCGATGATACCATCGAAAAGTGGATCGACAGATCGGTAGATGCAATGTTCCAGATTGTCATCCTGTCGATCGACCATAGATCCGCGCGGGTAAATTTCCGGATGTTTTGTAGCAAAAGTACATAATTTGGAAATACTTGACACGTTGAAATATGAAAGGTATTAAACTTGCAGGATACAAATAAGAAAGTTTGCAGAAAAATCTGTAAAATCCTGCGAGAGGGATGAGAATATCTCCGAAAAAACTTTCTTTAAAGCGCACAGAGATTCTCCTTCGCCGTGTCAACGCGAACGCGTGCGTGAAAATGTTTTTTTTTTTTTTTGCGCGTGTGCTCCACGAAATGCGTCGAAAGATGCACGCGCGTGTCCATACGTTAATATATCGCGTGAGTGACGTTGATGCCGGTACATATACGGTATATATGTATATATATATATATGTATGTGTATATGTATGTGCCAGACGCTTGTGTAATGTATCATATATGTATGTAAGTATAGATGTAAATGCGTGTGAATCGGTACCTCGGTGTACTACGCATCTCCTCGCGCGCTGTAAACGTCTTCTTATATAAAATCGGCAGTTCGGGCAGTTCGACGTCTCGCCGCACGACTCTAGCCTTACGTATGAAACCAGATTTACAAAAATACGGTGCGCGTGTTTTTCGCGTATTTGGCACTTTTTCACCTCTCTCTCTCTCTCCCTTTCGTCCAAACTCTCGCTTGTTCTGTCTCTCTTTCTTTCTTTCTCCCTTTCTCTCCCTCTTTCGCACCCATTTTCGCACTCATTCTCTCTCTCTATCGTTCCTTTTCGCGTTCCTCGTTTACTTCCTCCGTTTTTCCTCCCCGACACACACACATGCATACGCATACACACACGCATACACATGCGCGCTCTATCTCACTTTATCTCACTCTGTCACGAAAGCTCTCTTACTCTCGTGTATCATGCGGTCGCACGCCCTTATCTTATCTCCATCCCGAAGGGTAATCGGACCAAAGTTCAACCGATCTACCCTCTTCGAGGAGGGTTACAGTATCCCATTTCACGGATTTATCCGGCGGAATTTCATTCGTTCGTGATCCGCTCGTCGCATCGCTTGATCCCCTCACTTGCGTGTCCATCTTCTTGATGTCATCCGTCCGGGACCACGTATCTTTGGCACCAGCGTGAGTTCGAGAGAGGGTCCTCTTCCACGTCGACGCGAAAATCGGCAGTTTCGATGATGGGCGGCCGCGGGGAACGACGGCAACGACGACGACAATAACGACGACGACGACGACGACGACGGCAGCGGCGGCGGCGACGGCGACGTCGACGACGGCGACGGTGATGACGTGGACGACGCCGTCGTCGGCGATTAGGCGGCCGACACTGTGGACGCGGCACGAAGCCGCGCGAGATCGTCGACTAGTCCTCCTCGGGGCCCATGTTCATCAGCATCATCTTCTTCTTGGCAATCTTACTGTATTTGATGTCGATCGGCTTCGTCGTGTCATAGAGGCTCGGCGCTTGGAAGATAATTAACGCCGTGCCAAACACGCAGGCCAGCGTAAAGATCCAAAGGAAGATCCGGTCGAGCACCATCGCGACGTACTTCCAATCCTCCTCCACCTGGGGACAATCCAAACGAAACGTACGATCGTATATATATAATTAATTATTTATCTTGCTGTGAAATAATCAGCGTCCTTTCGGAATAATTTATCGTAAGATGCAAATTTAAAATTGCGTTTGTCAAGAACAATAGTCTTAAAAATTATAAAACTTTAATAATATAAGAGAATGTGTTGGATTTTTAGTTCCAATTTACTTTATACAGATAAATTAAACTTAAACATAATTTTTATTTAATTATTTGCAAGAAAAAAGAAGTATAAAAATTAGAGAAAAAATATATTTTTTAGCGTTTTTAACTATATATAACTATTAATTGTTTCGAAAAAATACTTATTTATAAATCATTTATATATTAATAATTATTTAAACAATTGTTTACAAAATTCTAAGTTTCTTAAAAGAAGCAATTTTTCTCAATAAAATTTTTATTGAGCATTTTTCCATTAATTCAACTACAGACTCATCTACACTCCGCATCAAAACAAATACGCATTCGCCTTCTATAGAGAAATGACCTGTGCATTCTTTGCATATGGATCTCGTAAAGACACAAGAGACTCTGGATCGCGAGAGTCTCTTGCGCGCATGTTTAGTATCAACAACTTGCCAAGCATATCTGTTATCCAACTTGCAGGGCATTTGGTATACGACGAGCTATAGGACGAGTTCCTATCTAATGTGATCCGCTGGAGCACTCTCGACATACTGCGTCAGCTTCTCGCATAGAAAGAAAAAGAAGGGAACGCGGAAAAGAGAAAAGGTCGATCGATCCGTCGCACTAACGGTGTATTGACTTCCATACAGATTCTCACTGCGACAAGGGGGATGCCAGGGAGACACGATAAAACAGTCTCACCCAATACTTTTATGATACTTTCACAAGGACAATGCACCAGGCCATTATTTCGCTACTACTCCGATCACCATTTCCCTCGTATTTTCTTCCCGCTCTGCTCGTCGCGAGATCCACGGGGGAAACATCTTTGCGCTGAGAGCATTTTCGATACGTGATCTTTAAGGTCAAGATATCAGAAAGCGAATAAACCCCCGATCTTCATTTTCCTTCCTTCCGTCCTTTTTCATCTCTTTGATAGTGCACGGGAAAACAACCATGTGTTTGTATAATCAAAATAATTAAAAACTAATAATCATTTAATTATGTCATACAAATTTGATGACGAAATATATTCATTATATAATGCATATATAATTTGTACATATTTAATTTAATATATATGTATTATATATTAAATTATATATTAAATTATATTTAATTTAAAAAACTGTGTTTACGCGCAATATGAAATTAATTATTAAAGATAAATTAATAAATAAAATTAAAGTATTTGATCAAAAATATAAAGCTTAGTGCCGATTTCTGCGCAATTTCGTTTAATATTTAAATGTTTCGTGTTGCAACCGAGTTTTTATTCAAACTCAACTCTTTTAAAATCTGACAAAGTATTGATAATATCTTACATTTTACATTTCATTTACATAAAAGGTTCCTTCGATTTCTTTTGTAATTTTATGTATATATATTTCGTATATACGATTAAAAAAGTATGATTCCATGCAAGATGAAGCGGTACTATGCGGTTCTACGAAATCGAGTTGAGCCAAAACTTGGCTACAACAACGAAATTGGCTACCGCATCATACTCTATCCTTTACTACAAAAAATACATTTGCATATTTTGTTATATATATGTGCATTTTGAAACGTATATATATATATATATATGTATGTATGTTATTACATGGTATACATAAAGTGATAAGCATACAATGTGCACTCGCTATGGATACACCCACATTGTTCTATATGGTGTATTTGATATACTGTTTCGAAGAAGATTTTTCAATGTAATTAAATAAATGTAAAATAAAATACAACTGTTATAAATATAAATTTCTTTTTTTCTAGGAATAGAAAAATGTAAACTCATCTTGTAACAGTTTAAATATAATTTTGCAAAGTTATATTTACGTTTGATAAAGAATTTCGTGCAGATATATTTATATAAAGCAAACATGAAACGAGATTAAAATAGATGTAGAACAATATTTTTTTATATAAACTGCCAAAATTCAGATTTATTTAAACTTTTACGTAAAAAATTATTCGAGTTTTTCCTTCATAATTTTAATCTTACAAAATAATACTTTCTGAGCACTCGGTATGTACACACTTGCCGCAAAACGGGCGCATTTGGCAATGAACGGCACTTTGCCGCAATGCGTTCTCCACCGTATACTTTGCGCAAATAAGTTATGCGCGCATTGAAGAGAGAGAGAGGGAGGATTTTAAGTGAAGCTTCATCGAACTTGGTTTGCCATGACATCAAGATATCCGAAGGTATGCCTTGGCAAACTATATAAATCCGGAAATCAACACATATCCGGAATCATAAGGTTCCGATTTAACCGCGAGACGTACCCTCGTGAAAATTGAACGCACGGTATGATTCTTCGTATAGTTTGACATTCAATTTTTATCAGAAAAAATATCGAAATGTTAAAATAATTTTTTTTAATGAAAAAATAAAATTTTGAAAGTTAGCTTTATTTTAATAACGGAATATTCTATTTTATTTCTTTTGTTTAATTTTTGAAACAACTTTGTTCTAATAAAAAACTTCAATTTAAAATTAAGTTATTAAAATACTGCTAAAATACTTAATTGGAAAGTTGTAAGAAGACAATCTTGTTTGACTTCTCGCTACGTGGGAAAAAATTTATTCGTAAAAAGAAACGTTAAATGCCCGTTTTTCAACAATTCTAAATAACTTTATGCGAAGCATAAGCCAGATATTTTTCCGTCGACGCTTTCATTCAAAATGGCTGATAATCATGCTGAATACAAAGATGTCTCTTTTTTATTGCTTGAGAGAATGGTGCGGTAAATGCGAGGGAAACAATATGGAAAGAGGCAGAAAGAAATCTATTCATATGTTTAATAAGCAAAAGGCAGGAAAAGATAAAGAAAGAAATCTTTCCATTTGTTTAACATCCGCGTTCGCAATATTTCCAGCTGCGTTATTTCATGACTGTTGCTGCGGATTATGTCTATCGTTGAGATCCGACGGAGTTGATACTTTTCCGGTTTTACGAAGGAGATTTCCAAATCTCTAGAGTATACGCGTTTGAGTCGGATCGCGGTGTATCTTAGATACGCTATAAAATCCGAAATATCGCACGAAACCGATCACGAGATCTGTCTAAAATATGAGAATTCAGGTCACGAGCTATAAAATCGGATATATAGAGTAATTTAGATGATTCGTAACGAAGATACAATGCGGGACACATCATTATAAAAAACAAGTTATTTTGAAATCGATAGATATACACGCACATATATTGTGCTTGATTAAAATCTATACAATTCGAAAAATGCCAAAAGTGGATATCAGAAAACGAATCAAATTTAAAACAATCTGTGTAAGCTTGATCATGTTAAACGCCGCAAATAATAGTATCTCTCCTAAAAATAATAGAGCGCATTTTTTAAATTTTCGCTTATTCTCGACTTGAGAATTCGAATTTATCGAATTTATGGCGGGCTCGTCGTAAAACCTCGCGAACTTTTCCCATCCTGACGATGAGACTTCATGCAAATCTAACATTATTTCAGATATCATAAATAAATGAATATTCTATGCACATTATCCTTTTTGTAATAAAAGTCAATAATCCTCTTATAGTGTTATGAATCACGAATAGTGAGAGATTCATTGCGTTGCGTGCAGAATCACAAAGGCAGTTACGTATGATACACGCGACATTATTGTCATTCGCGTACCATAGTGATACGATATATTACGATCAAAAACTATTATATTTCGCTACCATCTCGCTCCGAAATACTGCGCGAAATAATAAAACGTGCGACAATCCTGTCCCTCGATAGCATTAGACTTTGTGATATTCAATATAAATCATCGTTTTTTTGTATCATATAAAACGGAGTAGCTACCATGTATGTTCAATCGTTACAAAACAATCGATGGTCTGCAAACTACTACTTTCAGTGGTTTTACAAAACTCGTAATCGACGAGAGATACAATTGTTCGAGAAAATTTATAAATCAAATAATCTCCATTTCGTTCACGCTTTGAAGTGTTGCAATTTAATTAAAAAAAAAATATTAAATTAAAATGTTCTTTCGGATATCATTTTTTAAATCTACAGAAAATGGTTTCTGAGCACAAAATTCTGACAAAATAGATTAAATATTTTATGATAGATAAAAAAAAATTGTTAAAGATATTATTAAACATATTATAAAAATATATCATAAAGTATTATCAAATTAATATTAAATAAAAATATGCTGTTTTACAGAGCCTACAGAGATTATTCTACAGAATAATCTAATAAGAATATAATTGAAAATTTACAACTTTGTGATATTTAAAGCATATTGTGCGATATTTATAAGGCATTTATTAATTCTGACAAACTTTTATACCACGCATAAACATTTTTTCTCTGTTGCGTAAAGTTTAAAAGTTACATAATAAGTGGGCGTTTGATTTTAAGGTCAGAAGTCATACCTTTAACGGACGATACAACATGAATGGAATATACTTGCAATTCATGTGTCTTAAGACAACATATATATCCACAAAGTTTCATTCAATTAAAGACTTATGATTGACGAGTGTTCTCATAAATAGCTTATTTAAAAGAAAACAAGATTACATGTATAAAATAAAAATGTAATAAAAAATGCAAAGTATTTTTCTGAAATTATTTATAAAAATTGATTGCTTTTAATAAATACTTGTTTCTCGATGCAATCTTAAATCGTCGGTAAAAATAAAAAATAAAATGTACGATGTGTGTGTGTGTGTGTGACAAATGTACTTGCGATTTATGTGTCTTAAGACAACATATATATCCACAAAGTTTCATTCAATTAATGACTTATGATCGACGAATGTTTCTTATAAATAGCTTATTTAAAAGCATACACAGAGAAAAATATACACTGTATTCAAGTAAATATTATTTATTTTTTAAGTATATCAAATATATCACAAGTTCACCACAAGCATTAAATTTAATTGAATATATTCTGAATTTTAGTAAGTGCAGTATTTTAGTCAAGAATATTAAATTAAAACAAAAATTTGGTTTGCTTACATAGAGTTGGCGTAAAGTAAATTTGATTTTTCTTTGATACAACTTTATAATATTCTTGAAGAGAAAATTAATTCTTCTTTTGAGTACATGATAACGAGATTTTCTAACACTTGTGATGAGTATATTTTAAGACTATTATCAAGAATATATATTTTTTGTTGAAGAAAACTATTACTTAAAAAAAAAGAAAAATAAACTGAGTAATCGCTTTTCTTGGCAGTAGGATATTTTTCTCTGTGTATAAAAATGTGACTTTTCGTCACTTAATATTTCTCCTATCGATATACTAATAATAATACTACTCACGCTCTCGAATTTGTCCTTGTTCTTGGCGTGTTGAGCGATGAAGCGAGCGTCGTCGATGGTCTTCTCGATCTCGCGTACCAACGGCTTCTCGAAGGTGGGGCTGACGTCCTCGTGAGCATATCCGGGACTAGCCGGTCCGAAGAGATCGTCGTCCGCCCCCGGCAGTGGCAGCGAGGGTAGGGGCTCTTCGAAGCAGGGTGCGACGGTGCCGACGGTGCCGACGGCGCCGAGGTCGTACCTCGTAGCCGGCGGCGGCAACCCGTGCGGCGGTACCTCGTACTCTCCGCTGAACCTCTTGCCGTAGTACGTGTCGTACTTATCAGTCTCTGGTACATGGAACACATCGGTGAGGATGCCCTCGGGCGGCTTGCCGTTCGCCGCCTCGACATCGTCCTCGTCGTCGTCGTCGTCATCGTCATCGTCCTCGTCGTCGGCGCCGTCGTCGTCGGCGTCATCGTCCGCGCCACGACCGGCGCCGTTTCCACCCTCGTCCTCGTCGTCGTCGTCGTCCTTCTTCGGCCGCTTGATGAGAAGGAAACGCGGCAGCACCTGGATGAACACCACCCGCACCCACTTAGACATGCGATGGGTCACGGGTGAGCGGAAGTTGACGTTCAGCACGGCTATCGTGACGACCACCGACAGCGTCACCAGCACCATCGTGAAGAGCAGGTACTTGCCCAGAAGCGGCACCGTCAACGACGTGGGCGGTATTATCTCGGCCAGCAGCAGGAAGAACACCGTCAACGATAGCAATATCGAGATAGACAGCGAGACCTTCTCGCCGCTGTCGCTCGGCAGGTAGAACACCAGCACCGACAGGAAGGATATGCCCACGCACGGTATTATCAGATTCACCGTGTAGAAGAGGGTCTTGCGGCGCAGGGTGATGTTGAACACGATGTCGGGGTAGGGCTCCTCGCAGCATATGTAGAACGCCTCGTTCCTCACGGCAGGCACTTTTATGATGTCCCACTCGACGGAGATATAATAATCGGTCAGGTCGATCCCGACATCGATTTTATTCGAATCCTCGGTCTGCAAAAGATGCCGCAGGTCGACCTGCAAATACGGATGGAGAAATCGAACGTGAGTCGAATGAAGATTGTGCGAAATTTCAGCAGAAGAATCACAATTTTTATAAATGCATAAGATATTTATCTGTGTAGTTTTGGCCAAGTAGAAAATGCAATCGTAAAATCTATCATCTGTAGTGGAATCGTAATAAATTCTTCCTATCAAATCTCAGTTGGCTAATGATCATAATCCTGTAGATAATTATTTCTGAATTGTAGAATATTGTGTTGTTTGAATTTTCAAAGAAAATATTTTCCGCCTAACATTCAACTAAAGTTTCGTATCTTTCGTAATGCTTTGTTTAATATCGACACAATGGCATGCATATCTCGCACGCAAATATACATATGTATAAATATTTTATTTTAAAACGCGTTTTGTCGCGACATACACACATGCACTTGTATATTAACATAACATATATATACATATATGTACATATTGTATTATTGACATAAATTTATATTTTACATCAACAAATACTTAATACAATCTAGATATTTAGTATTATGTGTAAAATTTGCATAAATTTCTTTTATTATATATTACATAACAGTAATAACATACTATATGTGTATTTATATATCAACCGAAAAATAATTTTAATTGTTACAACTGTGCTCGTTACATATTAATAATAAAAATTAAAATTATCAAAGAGTATGTATACTATGTATTAGTATAATAAAAAGTTAGAATTTTTTAATTCTTTTGTAAATATATATTCTACATATTTTATATTTTCTAACATATTTTATATTTTCAGATTCTTCCAAATAATATACATAATATATTATTCGAGTGATTAAAAAAAAACATTCTTTCAACTGGAACTGCTATAACTTTCAAGAAAAAATTATAAAGTAAAATGATTGTTAATTTTCATATTTTAGAATAATGTATATTAAAATAAAAATTTCTTTTATTCATATACATACATATGTATAATTTTGTAAGAAGAAATGATGATAAAATAATGCAAAGAACAATTTTGTATATTAATAGGTTTGAATTATTTATTCCTTTGAGAAGCCTATGTAAAGTAAGCGAATTAAAACGTCATTAAACTATAAGTTTTTGTTTTTATCCTTGTTTGTTTTTTAATCAGATATAAATCATATATATATAGAAAGAAAAGATTGCTAAAAATAAAAATAAAAATATGCTGATTTAATCGTCTAAACATATTAGCCTAATTTGAGACATCTTCCTTTTGCGATAGCATGATAATCCGCCTCAAGATCTGTAATCTAACTAATCTTCAGAATGAATCTCCGGCTTTCGAATCACGTTGAAACGATCTCGAGAGATTTGATTCAAAACTGCGATAGCTAAATTCAAATTGTTATTCCGTCCCGCCGCGCCTGCTATTCTAATCCTCAATTGCTCGGCATCCGATGCAGTACATAATCAAAACACACCGATAAGAGGGAAAGAGAGAGAGAGAGAGAGAGAGAAAGAGAGAGAGAGAGATAAATCAGTAGATATAGCTAAGGAAGATACTTGGAGTATCCAAAGATTATTATCTTAGCGCGCTGTCTAATCGATGCTCAGGATAATCCGCATCACGGAAGGAACTTTCTGACAAAACAAGTATATGTGTATCTGTGCGACGTAGCTCTACATATGCATATAAGCACGATATACATAATATATAATGTTATTGACGTTTTTTTTGTAAACTAAGTTGCGTTGTCTCATCTAATAATGCGACAAGTAATGTTTAAATTATTATAGACGAATAAATTAATATCTTTTTTGATTAAGAAGATGCGCGCGCGTGCTTATTTTCGGAAGAATATAAATCTCACACCAACAAATTACATTGTTTTAAAGTATTTCGTATACGAAATGCACGATACATATAAAAGCGAGAATATAGTTTTGCGCTATTCACACCAGAAGAAGACAATAACCAGAATTGTCATTGTGCTTTAAACTGCTGCGCCTTGAAATTTATGGACTGCGCGACTTCTATTCGAAGACATTTCTGATACAGCCCTCGCGCGATAAATAACATCTCGTGGCCTACACGTTGACTTTCACGATATGCTTTGGATATACATGTATCGATTTGCATTATAAAGCAATATGCAGGGTATCTGGTATACCTTCGTTTCATATACAAATATTAGAAACTAAATTAAGAGTGCTACTTATTTTAACATCAAGTATAAACAATTTTTAAATTATAAATAAGTGGAAAAATTGAAAGGTGGTATTATATAAATATCTGCAAAAAAAATTAAAAAATAAAACTTCTCAGAAATACAAATAATGAAATTTTATCTTTTAAGTTAATTTCATGAATATCTTATTTTACCGAAATCTTAATCTGAGATTTTTTAAGCGCTTGTATATTGAAAATAATGTTGAAAATTAGAAAGTTACAAAAAGAGATATTGCTTTCAAAGTAAATTGTTGAAAGAAACTCGATTTTTATTTCGTCAAGAAATACACATAACTGACATCCTGTATATATGTATTTGTGTTCTGTGCTGCGAGGGGTTTTCTCGATCAGCTACGAGTCACCGAAATCCATTTTATCCCTCGCCACAATCGATTTTCTAGATACACTATTGTTTAAAAGAGAGAGAAAGAGAGCAGAGACATGGAAAGGAAAGGAAAAAAAGGACGAAAGGAAGAAGAACGGAAGAAGCGAACGGAAGAAATTGGATACCTCTAATGGCTGCGCTGGATATATTCTGGCTATCTCAAAGTCTGCACCATGGAATCGGAATAAAGTCGAGAGCCAAATCTCGCGACCGCCATCGAAGTTACCGGCTGATCCTCCCTGGACCACTTTCGAGATCTGTCGATAGTTCGATGAACGATCGTTGCTCATTCACCGTTGCCTTTCTCGCGCATTTTCTCACTACGCTGCTTGCTCTTTATTCGAATTCGTTTCCTGATTTTTCAATTTCGTCTTCACGAATCGAGAAGTTTTCCTTTAATTTGAATTACAGAAGAATTTTATATAACGATCCAATTCATTTTCTGTGAAGTAAAAATAAAAATAATTATTACATCATTATATGTAAGCGTTATAACAATTAATAATGTATAGTTTAATTAATATATAGTTTCCCTCTCTCCCTTTAAAAATTCCATTAAATATTTTCCATTAACATCTCTTTAAAAATCAACTTTTAAAAAAAGTTCTCAAATTTTTTCATTAATGTTTTGTATCTAACAGTAAAATTTGTTCTGTGAAGGCATGTATATATCTGTTTTACGTTGACTTTTATTGACATTTATTGCAACATTCCGCAAATATAGCGATTAGTTTTGTATTTCGATTAACCTTCATTTGTTGAATGCAAGCGCCGTTCTATCTTCGTATCATCCCGATGTCTTTTTTCGGATGGAAAATATACTCGATGTAGCCGCAAGACATGCCGCTGGGGAAAATCGAAATCAAAACGCGGAAACGGAAGTTATCCACCACGTGGGTGGATACGAGGTTGATCACCAGCAGCCCTGTGTTTTCGAAGTGGCTAGCACGGACGAGCTTCTCTGTCGAAATGGCTTACCCCCGCAGACGCAGGATTTATATCCGCAACTGTACAACGGTAAAACTCTCACAGACAGGCGGATTTGTCAGTGACGGATATATCCGTCGATCGAACGATGGGTAGGGTTTACTCCCGTCGGATTGCGCGTGAGAGAAAATGCGATCGACAGGACAAACAGGCGCCTCGCGAGTTGTAATCGCCAAAAATCGTGACATTTCATTGACGCGCGCGTTGCTTCTCGCGTTGAAATTAGAACGCGCAATAAAATTCCGTAGAGAATTCTATCGCGTAAAACGTATCTCTAACAATAAAATACACAAATTGGACAAAACATTATCTTGTGCCAACTAAAAATAATCTGATAGAATTTCGATAAAATAATGCGCAATTGATAATTTGAGAGACAAAATATTGTAATCTTTAAGTATTTAATTTGCCGTATTATTTTCTTTCAGTTAATTTTGAATTATAAAGTTATCCAATAGATCACAGCTTCTTTTGTTTCTCTATAGTATAATAATATAAATAAATCAAGATATAAGCTTGGCTAATTTACATATAAAGTTAGTCGAGAAGAAAACCTGTTCTAGATATTTCTTATAGACATTTTTTAGATTTTCATTTAAATTTTTCAACGATAGTTCTTCATTTTAGCTATAAATTATTTTTTGCCTCAATCTTTCAAAATTATAAAAAATGTAGTTAAATATAACAAAATATCATTTTTATTAACGTAGCTATTTTTAGCTCTACATAAATAGCTTTGAATTTGCACACGTTTTAATCTTAATGTCGGCAATTTATAACAATATGTAAATTATAAAATTATAGGAATTTCCGATACCTTTTTTACATTTATAAATGTTTAAAATAGATAAAATATACATAAAGTAGTCTCTAATTAAATAGCACTTCAAAAATTTTAGTCGTATAATGCGTTGTTATACAAATTAATTCGAATTAATTTATATACAATATTTGTATAATAACGAATATTAAAAATACCACTTTATTTTATTTATGTATGATAAAAATGTGTATAAAATTATATATATAATTTATAATAAAAATGCAAAATTTAACTTTTTCGAAATATATGCAAAAATATAAATTTAATTTATTGTAGATGTGTTGAGTGCATAACATTATTTAAATTACGTTCATACTTCATATATTTAAGTCATGGAATATTTTATAATAACGAACGAATTTTTATTGAAACACGTAATAAAAACTATTTTCACAATTTTTGAGAAATATGTGTGACATATTCCTCGTTTATTTAACGTTCATGCAACATCCGTGCGATAAATTGTCGTAAAATATCGTACATAAATATCATTTTGCGTTATGCATTAGAATTTACAAATTAAAATTTTTTTCATACAACGAATTGTGAAATTCTTCGCAAACTAATTCTGTAGAATTACAAAAAAAAATATGTCTGATAATTATCAAAGCAGTCTTGCAATTTCTACTTGTCCTTTAACATTCTTTCTATGCATTATAATTATACATATATATTATTTGTCTATAATAACTCAGTGAAAGATAATTCTTAAAATTATCTTAATATAAATCTTAATATAAATTCTAATATTAATCTTAATTAATATTAATCTTAAATAGGACAAGCAAACTTGAGCATGTACATAATCTTTCCTTCATATAATAATAACCACACTATTTATTTATAATCACACTATATATTTGATTAATTTGCGTCATAGTGCTTACCGTGTAACCGTCGTAAGTCCACGAACCAAACTTCATAAAACAAGTCTGCTGGTCGAAGGGAAAATATTCCACGTCGATCTCACAAAATGATTTATAGATTGCCGGTGGCTTCCACACAACCTTCCCCGTATGATGCAAAATCGCCTTAGTCATAATGGTTACCTCATAATTACCATCGGCACTGAAAATAAAAAAATCGACATTTTAAATAATTTATCATTAAGCAATTTAAGATATAATAAATAACATAATTATAACATATTACATCTCAAAATATCTGTAATTTAAATACGCATTTTTATACCGACTTATTAATTTGTGATTTATTAATTCTTTTTACACTATATCACATAATATAGTGCATTTGTGACATTATAGTACATTTGTAAATTGGCGCATATTATATAAAATATTTTGTTCTTATCTTTTCATGCTATATTATCTGCGCAATAAATACTTTAAACAAATATTTCAGATTGTTATATGACAAGAAAAATATTTTATAATCAGCATAATTCTATTCTAGATATCTTTTCCTAAATTATCTATGAAGAAGAAAAGGAACATCATATGTATCGCAATCGCAACAGAATATTAAAGCTTTCTGCCATATGTAAAGTCAATAGAAACGGCATCAATCGATATCTCGAATAAAACGAAGCGACGCTTCAAATGTTGCTATGTAAAAATTTGACAAAGCGATGTGCGCTTCGATGCGTACATTGAACGCTGAACAGCTGTAACCAATCTGTCGCTTTCAATCACCTTCTCCATATCGATTCCATTAGAAATTAATTCTCTCTCCCTTTCTCTCTCTGATTTGTACTAAAAGAACTCATCCTAGTAATAAATATTTTTAATTAATTAATCTCTCCCTTTCTCATTCTTTGATTTCACATTGATAAATGTCTAGAAATAGAAACGTACTTAGAGCATATTAATTATTATATATTTTAGTCAATATTCAATTAATAAACGATAATTAATATATTAATTCATCATTTTTCTAACATTTTTTAATTATAAAAGAAATATTCTTAAGAAGTATGAAAAACTAGTCAAACTCTTTTTTTTCATGAGCGATTAAAAACAAAATCATGTTTCTCATGAAATTAACCGGTAAGTGAAAAATTCTTCATTTAAATTAACACGACACTCCTCAATTCAATTATTTTTCTACTCTTTTGCTTTATAAAATAAAACAATTTTTACATTGCAATCTCACCGAGGTGATTTAAGCCCGTGTTAAATCATCAGAGATGAACCGAGCGCGGCTGTCGGTTCAAAGCTGCGAAAATTCGAGAGGAATTAACATGGAACGTTACGAACAGGCAAATTCGCCGTGAGCGAGATAAGAAAATCCGCCATATAAACGATACGGGATAACGGGGTAACATACCGGGACGGTATTATTACGCAAGGCTAAGGAAACAGAGCGCACGAGCGAAATAAATTCGTCGAGATAATGTGATCTCGCTCGGATTTCTGATACAATACATGCCGCGCTGCGGCCAGCTGACGCTGTCACAGCTGTCACTGTCGCGACTTGCACTTGTTGCACTACTTTTAACGGTCAGCCCCGGCATTCTTATTAGTCCGGCACGTCACGGCCGTTATATCGCGCTGTGAATTCTACCGTGTCGATTCGTTTCGCGCCAATTCGTGAATTTTTTATTCGCACCGTCTTGCGCTCTGTCGTGATATTATCGATCGCGATATTTCCTCACCACGTTCGTCGGGACGAGGGAGACGCGTTCTTTGACATATAAATTGTCGATCGACAAAATAATTTATGGTCTTAGTTGCTATAGTGTGGGTAACATTGTGTACACACAGGTATAAATGTATGTACATACATATTCGCGAATATATATCGAAGATGGGAAAATGGTTACCGACAATCTTAATAACGGAGGATCAATAATTGTTTAATATTTTGTAATAATTGTTTAACAAATTGTTTAACATTTTATGTTGAGCCATAAACGCAGTTATTATAATAACTGAAGGGAGAGAATATATTCTATCTTTTATATTTATAATTCTTTCTTTAAATTATTAATAATGTACATTTAAAGAGAAATCTTCGTAATTTTTATAATTCTTGAAATATCTAAAATGCAATATACAAACAATTCATAAAAAGATGAAATTCTCCCTCTTGATATAAATGGATTGAAAGAGTTGAAACAACTCTTGATCGAGAAGATTAATTAGTATTTGAAAAAATAATAATTTGAAATTTCTCTCCTATAAACATATAAAGGGAATATAAAGAGCCATGTATTTAACGTTAACTAAACGATTCATGAAACTCGAGCGTTTGCTCGCAACAAAAGCTGAATATCGGATAAGTTCTCGCATCTCTGTGCGAATCCTGTTACACAAGCTTCTGCGCGTTAATGTAGGTCTCCTGCACTTTGTGCGGTCATCCGATAATTATAATTCTGTTATCAAACTCTGCATAGAAAGAGAAAGAGAGAAGGAGAGAAAGAAGAAGAAAAAGGAAAGAGTGCGCGCGTGATAAAAATAAGAATAGTTTGTAATTAAGAATAGTTTTGTAATTATTGCGGTTCGGTATATAATAATGCACGTGCAAATACAGATTATAATGAATCGCAAAAGTTAAGGCTGATTTGATAACTCGAATAATCGTGAAAATAATGAGAGATGTATCGAAATATAATTTTCCTTTCATACTTTTGAAACCAGACACGCCCACGCCCGTAGTCATTAATTACATCTGCCGTTATGATATTAATCTCTCGCTTTTCTGCATTCGTGGCTGCATCGTAATCTTGATACACACAGCCATCAATAACGATAGAAACGATATTCCAGGATAATTATCCGAGAATCGATTGTGTACAATGCATTCTCTGCCGGCCGCATAGCTTTCAATTATGATCGATCGAACGGCTATCTTCATGAATAGTGAAAGCAGCCGTCACAATTCCGGTAAGCGGGACAGGAAATGCCGAAAATTAGCCCGTGTGTGGAACGTTGCTTACATTAATCCCGCAAATTGGTCGTGCTGAATGCTTCGCGGATTGAAAATCAATGTTTCCGATGCGCATGCATTAGAAGAGACGGATGATAACGACGAGTCATCTGATAACGTAGAGTGATGATTTGAAAGTGACGTCTCAATCGCGACTCGTTGTCAAACGAGACATTTAAGCTTCGTTCTCAGAGTTTCTCGGCGAGATACATCCCGTTGTTATGGAAATATTACATCTCTGATGTTGCAGCATTATTCTGTCGCAGGAAAGATAATCGTTCGCTTAATGGTAGAACGAGTCGTTCTTGCACTCACGATTATCTCGTAAGTAAGCTTCAAGGAATTCTATTTCTGTTGAAATTTGTAATAAATGAGAATAAAACAATATATAAAATGCAATAATCGTAAATGGAGTTTCGCTGAATCTTTCGAAGATACTTGCGGGATATTGTATTTTTGCTTTATAATTGATTTAAAAGAAGCGAAACAAATGTCTCTTGAAAAATGTCTCTCGAATAATTGTAACTCGACAGTTGGAGGCAGTAGCAAGCGGATCGTGAGAAACAACGCGCGAGCGCGTTTTACAAGTTACATCAAGAAAGTTTGAAGACTCAATTAATCACATTTTTTCGTTTTCAGCGTGCTTTATGGCGCGCTTCTTGTGCGGCCACGTCATGTAAATCTCGGAACTCTGTGCAAGCAGTAAAACCTCCGTCGACGACTTCGAGTCGCAATGAGAGGCGCATAGTCTTGTCGCAAATCTTAATGACAACGTCGTCGTCTTTTTCTCCCATTCTTTCCGACTGTCTTTCTAGAGAACGACTCCTTGAAAAAACTCTCGCGCAAGAACTTGCGACATAATGAAAGATATCATCCTCTCGCCGGTCAGCGCTACGAAATTTTTAATGACCACATTAATTAATTTCATATTCATTTTATTCATTAAATACGACTAAAATCGCATCTCTTTGGAATTTTTATTTCTAAATCAAACATATTAATTAACTGACATATACAAGATATATTGCTGGTCGTTTTAAGTCTACGTTGAGAGTTTTTAAAATTCACATCTAATTTTGTATATCAATAAATACATATATGTTTGATTTAATATTAATATTAACTATAAATTAAAATAAATACAAATAAGAAGAAAAATACAAAGTTAAAATGTATAAAAGTTTAAAAATCACGTAGTTTAAAAATCACGTATAAATCACAGCTATGCGTATATATAATTTCGGAAATATCGAAAATCTAAAAGCATAATTGAATTAAAAAATTAAATTTTTTAATATTTTGTGTAATGTTATACAACAACGGTTCCACGGAAATCGCTTTCTCAGAACCTCAAACTAACACGACGATGACATCGGCGGTTAACATTGTAAATCGTCGACCATTACGGTAAAGTCCACCGATAATCTTTTCCGCGGCTCACTCGAGAGAACGTGCGGACTTTGTCGTCTAGACCGCATCAGTATCCCACGGGTAGTTCGTCCTATCTCGATGAGGTAAGAGCAGGGGTACATTTGCCGGTCTGAAAAACTTGAATCGTTGCAACCGCATTCCACACTGGCCACCCTTTATGACACGATATTACTTACAACCCTCTCTACTACCGTCCCTCGACTCGTCCGGCGATCGTACCGAGGGAGAAAAGCTCCCTATTGTCGTAGATCTCGATGCTTACGATGTAGTATCCGCGTGTGAAATGTACCTGATCCCGCAATTGATAACGTATTATGGCGCACGCGAGAGTGCTTCTCTGGGAAACTGGACGCGAGAGCTTGCGGCTGACACTTGCAAAATGCGAGTTAAATAGCTCGGTGAGGGAAAGAGTTATTCCATAAATGTAATCAAAGTGAAAGTTTGAGTGCGCTACGAATAGCTCACTATCATGGTAATTTTTTTTCATTTGCGCCCTATCGAGTTCATCCCTCCCCTCTCTCTCGTTTCCCTTTGCATCAAATCTGCATCGTAGAGGAAACAATTGCTATATCGATTGCTCTTTTTACGCGTACGTGTGCGATTACTTGGAGGGAAGAACGTTGCTTTGTTACCAGGTCATATCCGTTTTCTCGCGAGGCGACTGGAATGGATTACCGCAACGCGCATCTGGGATGAGCTGCAGGTGCAGTAATCCGGTGATAATGGAGTAACGAGATTCGCTCGCACGTACGTTTCCTGCATATTTTAACTTTGCATTTTGCAGCACGGTAGCACGTACTGCGCCAGGGTCGTTGTGCCTAAGCAACCCTTTGGCCGCCATTCTCTCGGCCCTTCGCGTACATACAGACGTTTATTTACTTCGTCGATTTTCCACGTAGACTTAGTATACCGTAGTCATTCTTGCGAAATGGCAATTTTACGCGACTACTGAAACAAAGTTTCGAACGTTTCGAAAAATATTCTCTCCCATACGATTGTTTCCAATGTTATTGAAATTTATACACAATAAATAATAGTACCAGAAACGCTAGTACAAGTTGAAAAGGTAATTCTTTATAAAATAAATCGAAAATGTAGGATAAATTTTTTTTCTATATTTACGAAGCCTTTATTTTTGAAAAAAATAAAAATGATTTGAAAAAGTGGAAAATGATCGATAACATATTTAAACTTATTGAATTTATCTCTCGATAGTGGCTATTAAAGGATACTATAAAATTATCTCTGTTAAAAAAATATAAAGTTTTACAGATATTTGATCTCTATAGTTTACATATATAACTTCTTCAGTAATTTAAATTATTTTATAGCCTGCGATATTTGATATTTAAATTATTTTAAATTTTTACTAAAGAGACTGTTATATTTTATACTTTTATATTTATGTATTTTAATAATCATTGAGATTCAATCTCAATTATACATAACACAGGATTGTTAGAGATCATTCATGTTTTAAAAAAGAGTGTACATATTAATATTCTAAAATTAAATTTCTCGAAACTAAAAGCTCATTCAAATAAAAAGGAACTTATTCTATATTTTCGATTTATTTATAAAGGAAATTTCTTTTACAATTATACTATAAATCTTGATTCATCCTAAATAATATGAGAATGAAAGACAACTTGCGGAAATTTAAAATACTGTTATATGACAAAATAATTTCTTCATAACCATATAAACACATCACACAAAAGTGTTGCGTCACTTATAATATTCTTAACGCGTTTAGTAAATATTAACCAATTTTATGAAATTAAAAGAATATAAGATATTTTTATATAATTCGCTAACTATTTCGTTGATGTAATTAAATAATCTCGTAATAAAATAATCTCTCATCTATAATAAAATAATCTCGTTGAATTAACAATATTATCTCATTAGTTTGGAATAACAATTTTATCGAGTCAACAATATCCGGTTCGTTAAATTGTTAAAATATTTTCTCCGAGTTTATATAATGACTTACGTAAAGTTGTTTAGTTTGTTTGACATCTTTGTATCAGAACGCGACGATAGTTGAGCTCAGAATGCACTTTGCATGTAGAAAACAGAAAATGAGAAAAAATATATCGGGCATAAAGTGTAGGCAGCACCGTCTTGGCACGTTACAGGTTGAATTTTACATAATGTATCCCCTCGAAGAAATGAAGAAGGTAAGGCAAGGGATACCCGTGGCTCATGAACGTGCAAAACGGATTCAAAGCTCCCCGATGGAAATGAGAATGGCGGATTGAACGTCACACGCTTAAATGGAGTTTAATAGGGCGAGTTAAGTTCACCTTATTTGAGATACACCGTCTTTATATAGGCGAGATTACTCGCCTTCGTCTTGTGAGACTCGATTGTTCGCGAGGGAGAAAGGAACGAAGAATGCCGAGAAATCCCAAAAGTGTCATCAATTCTGGTCTTTTAAATCTTTCACTTTTTAATTTCGAAAGCATCCGACAGATTTCAATGAAATCCGTTATTATAGAGTTCTTGGAATCTTAGCTGATTAGAGCAAAATTGAGACTGGAGATATAAGAAGCTTTTAAGTTGTTGGAGCGATTTAAAATATCCATTTATATATTCGTAATATTTTTTTCTCATTTAATGAAGATATTATTATTATAATCGATATAACGCTTTTCCTCTTTGAAAAAATCGCCGGAAGAATTTACCGGTAACGTTAGAATGCGATGTAGGTGCTGCGCAAGACGAAGGGCTGCACCAGCCGAGATACACAGGTAATTAATTTCGGCCCTCATTTTCCGGATTAATGGTTTCGTAATTTGCGCGGACTTATGCAATTTGCGGCTAAGCTGACCGCACATTGTGCATCACGTCATCGCGTTTGAATACTATGTGCACGGTGAAGACTCGCAGCGGATGAAATCCGCGGTCGTACATGTCGGCATCACGCGCGATATCGGCGATTGCTGATTTGCTTCCCTTCTTCCCTGTCGAGATGTTAATTAGCACATCAACATAACTAGCATATCTCACTGCTTTAATTCTCTCTATAATCTGCTATTCGTGGTAATTACACAAAGAGCACCTCCTAAAAGCTTGAAGAAAGAATTTTTTTCCAGACAGTAGACTTCCTGAGTTACTTTTACTACTTTGCCCGAATACCTGCGATATCGAAGCATCACACTATCATCGATCTCGTCAAGATTGTGTGCGTGGGTATGTATCCAAGATATAACCTTTTTCCGCACGGTTACTCGAGAGTTACGTGCGAGGATCATCGAGCATGAAATGCGGCATGGGAACCACCGAACAAACGAGTCGACCTCTCTCTCCGCAAAGGGCTTCAACTCCCTCTCCTCATAAAAGTGTCCTCGGCTAGTGCTTGAGTACATCCTATTTCTCAATGCTAGACGCGCCGGGTAGATACCGCTCGTTCCCGCGGCATGGATTTTCAAAATAGCGGGCGAAAACGTGCCGTCCCTCCGAGAAATATTCTGAGCGAAGCTTTACGTTTCTTCGCACTTTGCGCTGAAATCCTATAAAATATGGTCGCTTCGCGTAGTGATCAACAATCCAAGATAAGAATGCGTGGGAGAGACGATAAAATCGGTGGGTATACGCGAACGAAAAATCTACCTACGTGGAAAAACGCTGAGTGATATGGTCAATTGCTTCAAGAGACGCTTACGTCAATGATTCGAATGTCGCAAACGCTCTAATATTATTATAAATGAAATATAAAAATGTCTACTCACTTGTTGTAAAGAACAATGTCAGGTAACCAAATGTGTTCCGATGGTACGTGAAGGGTGTCGACGCCGCCATAGTCGTCCGGATTCCACTTCAATTTGTAATCGTTCCACTCCTGAAAGCAGAGAGAAAAATCGTAAATGTTTCACCAATTTAACGGAGATGAAAAAGACTTAATCGATTATCGAGCGTCTGACAAGAGTAAAGAAAAATGCCGTGAAACGAGAACACGAGATTGGTTTTTCTATTCATGTAAAGTCTCCTTTTTTCCCCTTCCTTTTTGTGTAATTCTTTTTATCACTTTTCCATCATAATGAATATTTAGAAATTATTTTGAATTATTAAATTATAATTTATATTAAATTTATATAAAAAATGAAAATACTAGGAAACATATTTTTGAAAGATTTATTTTCAGCAAAAAGAAAGTATAATTATAATTGTCGGAGTCTAAATAAAACTGTACAGTACAAAAATAAATTATAAATTAAAATGATTTATGAAAAAAAATAGAAAAAGCAGGACAATATTTATTATATTTATGTAATACTGTATTTATGATTAAATCCTAGGATCTCTGCAGTTGTACAAGGAAGAGTGGGTAATCGTTCCTAATCGTCCTAACCGCTGTCAATATATCCTGCCGTCCCTTTTCGACTCCCTCTGACACCGTCTTGACGACCCTCATAATTATCTCGCGGAAGTTTCGTCCATCGTAGTCGATATCCGGGCAGGAAGATCCTATTTCCAGGATTCACTTTCCGTATTAATGGCTTATGCGACTAAACGAGGTAAATGATTAAGAGAAAGAGGGAGAGGGAGAAAATAATTACGAGAAAATAATTCTGTGATTTTTCTACTGTTTTCTTTTCTCTACTCTTCAATTTTCTGTGCTCGAGAAAGATAGCGATGCTCGAGTATATTATGGAAACGATACCATTACTAAAAAAGTTTCTTTCTTATAGTTCTGTTTCTTTCTCAGCGAAGCATGTATATTTTTGATATCGGCACGCCTTTTTCCTAACTCGTTAGCGTGTCGAGCAAAAGCAACAGTAACAAGACGATCGAACGAGATATTACGACGAGCATCATAAGGCAGGTATCTACGAGCGTCGCGTGAGATGCATCAATATTTCCTACGAGACAGATGCTTGAGTAACGAGGCATAATTTACGCAGAGTTTTCTTACGTCGGATCGATACTTGAGCAACGCCCAACTCCAGTAACATTTATATCAAAATTCTATTACTAATTCATTAAACGCCGACTGAATTTACATCGAATTAGAATTATTGTTAATAACCTAATAATTATATTCAAGTAATTTAAAATATATGAAATTTATGATTTCTAATAATTAATATTAAAATGATTGCAAAATGAAGATATTTTCAAAATTATTCAAATAATTTTAAACATCAGAGCACTCGGATTGTTTGAGGATTATTCTAAATTATAGCATTATTTGAATGTAAGCTATCCAGGATTTTCAGAATTGTCTCTAGATAACAAAAATAACAAATTACTATAACAATTATTATAAATTTTTTTTTCTCTTTCTGTCTCTCCTTTTTTTTCTTTTTCTATTTTTCTCTTTGTCTGCCTTTCTCTCTCAGAGAGAAAAAGGAAAAAATCATTCATTTCGTTTTCTTGTTTAAGTTCTCTTTTTGATATAACATGTAAGGTTTACATGGTAAAGTTACATGGTTACATAAAAGCAAAAAACAATTATATTACTTTTCAAATATGCGCGTTGCATATAATATAATTTTATATGTTAAAATCTGTTAATTTATTTGTTAATGGAACTTTTATTTTCTCTATTAAATGCTCGTAACATATGTAGAGATTTCATCAGCTTAAAAGAAGAAAAAAGTAGACTTTATAAAATAGAATATAAGCGATTTCATTGTGGTAAAAATATAAACGCTTTTTATAAAAAATTTTGTTTTTATATAAAAACAACTAGCTATAAATTCTTAAAATTCTCGTTGCACGCGTAATAACATGTATAGCGCTGCTAAATTTGTTTGCTTGTTTCATCTGCTCCAAATTATATGATTTGTTAAATTAAAAAATAGCAAAAATTGTTATGAATTTAAAACAAATATATGTACAATGTATATTTATATAAAAATATATACATTTATTTATTGTATTTATTTCCTTCTAAAAATAAAAAAAAAGATACATGAATGTAGGTAATTCAATTTTATTTCCAATAACAATGCATTTAGATTTCCAATTAAATTAATTTTGCATTAATTTGAAAATTGAATTATTGCCTACTACGCAAATCAAACTTGATAGAATTCAGACTTATATTTCTACATCGAAAATTAGTTAAATTGCACATGCAACGGAAAGACATCTCGATTTCATCATCTTATGCGCAAAATTATATCACACAGCAAAGCGCAATAGAAAACAACCGCTGCAGGTGCATCCACGATGTATGTTCGCGTTCACGAAGTGAGTTTCGTTGCTCCTGCAGGCATTAATTATTCTGTTCGCAATTAGCCGAGTTTGGTATGTATCTGGTATCACCACGAAGCGCATCTAAAATTTCACACACGATCCAACAGACTCATATCGAGATCAATTATTTTGGCGTTCAATGAGAGAATAGTCAAAAGGTTTTAACTAGTAGTTTACGGATTAAGGGTGGATATTTTCCCTAATATCAGATTAATCTTTCCTTAAATATAAAGAGAATTTTATTATATTGTTTAGTAAAAATATCTGACTTGCATACAAGAAAAAGCAAGACAATGGCATCAGATGTTTCTCAAAATGCATCATTTGGAGAATCATTGACATGAGAAAGCTAGATGAATAGATGCACGTAGTTATGGCATACACTTTAGTAATTTCTCCGCGTTTGCCTCCTTCTCCTCTGGAAAGCCATGACACATGTGATGATAAATCGTCACACATCTACCACGGAAAATTATCTTCACGCTAAAACGATTATACGGCGGCTCAGATGATCTCGACATTAATTTAGTACGTAGCACGAAAATAGGACCAGGAACGCCCGTGAGATAAAGTCGAGTGTGTGAGACACGAATGTTCGATGATTTGCAATCAAACAGGAAAAACTGAGTGAAAAATTTTAACAGTAAATCTATTCAGATAAGGAATTCTTTCATAAAATTTTACATTTTGTTAAGTTCCGGGCTAAAATAAACTGAACAAAACTAAATATTTCGTTAATTAATGCAATGCTAAAAAATAATAAAAATAATAAAAGTGTATTAAAAAATATTATAAAACGCAACAATTTTCAACAAAGAAAAATAATTTTACACGATAAAGTTTTGTTCCGTCTATTTTTTGATCATGAAACATTAAATGCTTGATCCAAGCGAACTGTGTTATTTCAATTTTTTTGCCAAATTAAAAGAAACATCTTTTTTACTATTCCAACTTGTATACCAAAAACGAAAAGGTATTTAAATGCTTTTAATTATATTATTTATTATTTAAATATTATTAAATAATGAATTGGAACAGCTAAATAATGCAGCTCTCTCTCTCTCTCTTGCGATTAGTTTGAACAATTGTATGCATGTGTGTGAAACATAAAAATTAATGTTATTTAATTCTTCAACAAAAGTAAATTACGCTACATGTAATTTGCAATTGAATTTTTCTACTAGCGCTCCACAAGATGCGATTTATCGGAGATGGAAATCGATTGTACAATGTCCATTGTAAAATCGCATAGCGAATCTCTATGCGCTGAATTTCCAAGCGCGATTAAAGTCTAGCGAGAGAAAAAACTGGTAATTTCGAAGCAATATTTTCTTTCTTACGCGCGAAAAAAGTGCTTTCGTCGCTTGAAAAGAATGCGCTATAGAAAACTTCAATCTTCTTTCTCGCATACCTCTCGAATACTCTCAAATAATTTATTTCTTTGCTATTATCATCTAACTATACATACACATGCAATAATTAATATGTAATAATTAATTAATTAATTAATTATTCAAAGTAAAATAAAAAATGATTAAATTTATAGCTCTTTGGCGGAATTACGGAACATAATTTAAGAAATTTTTTGGATAAGAATTAAACTTTTTTATTTATGATAAAGATACTTCTGTTATAAGATTCGGGAATACATGCATTTAGCGCGTCTCCGGTACAAACTAAATTCTCCAAGTTACAATTCTCTTCCTTAAATACATTTCTTTGTTAAAGGAGTTACATTCGATGTCGAGGAGGCAAGGCCGAGGTGAATCGTAAATCGGTTTTCACCGCATCGAGGAACGTATTGTCGCGGAAAGGAGGCGTAAAGAGAGGGAGCGAAATCGACGACTATCTAGAGCGTAACCTTTTAAACTCGAAAATGGTGGAGAAGAATCTCCGTATTTTCTCGGCACCTCCTGTCGCGTGAGACGCCCAAAGGATTTGTCGATGTATCCTGCGGGAAGAAAGCTAAGAGGAAAGAGGAAGAGAGAGAGAGAGAGAGAGAGAGAGAGAGAGAGAAATTTTAGACGAGAAGGCGAGAGTTTAAACATACACAAAAGGTTGAGTAGGTACTGGCGCCGCGGTTTATTCGACTGCCAAACAGTTACACGTGTGTATCACGCGATTGACAATCGGGAAGCTTTTCGATTCGTGAAAAGAGACACATCCTCTTCCATTATAATGCAACACCCGGAATAAAGCGAGCATAGCGTAACAGTGGAATTCACTGTCGTTTATTGCGCATTGTATCGCGCTTCGCAGCACAGCTGTGTTCTGTCGATACTTACAGATTTAACCAAATGTAATGCAACGTTACGTTAACTTTTACGAAAAAAATTTCGCGGCGGAAAACATGAAACATGTGTGCACGCGCGCGCGTCAATTCTATCTTGCAGTTTTATCGACAATATTTTTTTAGACCGGTCACTGTTGATAATAGAGCTAACACCTTCGAAATACAAGTGTTACTTTTTTTGTTACAAAACCCATATCTTTTTATACGTACCCCAAAAAAAACGACATCTCTCTGATCCTGTCATAAATATTTTTTTCTTTCTAAAAAAGTCTCTTTACAAATAAATGTTAAATATAAATATACGCAATATGTGTGCATCAAAAGTTGCTTAGATTCCTAAGAAG